ATTGAAGTATCTGGAATCCTTGACATTGACAAGAGAGAAAATATGTGGATCACTTGGGCAAAACAAACTAGGCAAGATTCATTCTGCCTGTCGTTAGCCACCCCGTCTAACCCCTTTCGTACTTGTTTAATTGGAGTCTCGTTGTGTCCCATGGCAGAGTTCAAAACTGGGACCCGAGCTAAAATAAGTCCAAATATCACCCTGGGAGCGCAAGCTGTTGCATTTGTGCAAAACCTTAAATTTACTGATGACAGTCTTCAAGAATTCGAACTTTTGGGTTCTGTCCCAGGAAATTACTGTTTAATATTTGGATCTTATGCTACCAAACCAACTCAAGAAAATGGAAAATTGACAGGTGACAACACTTGGTTGTCTCCCAGATCACCATTGTATTACAACTATTCAGAATATTGTAACAATTCGACTCAATCTGTGACACCGCCAAGAGGTGGTGCAGGAAAACTGCCCCAAGGAACCTTCCTCATTTGTGGAGACCGAGCCTGGTCAGCAGTCCCTCAAAATGCTAGGGGAGGCCCATGTTATATCGGTAGGTTGACACTTTTTGCTCCCACCATACATCAGGTTCTCAAATTGCCTCAGAAGACTCAACGAGCCAAACGCAGTGTTCTCCAAATGGACCCTAATTGTAAAGATATAGTGTCATTGTGGGGGCGTGCCTCTGTAGTAGTAGCCTCACTCTTTGCCCCAGGGGTCGCCTCATCAAAAGCGCTCACACAATTGAGAACTCTAGCGTGCTGGACAGGAAAACAAATTAATATCACATCTAAGTTGATAAGTGAGCTTGCTGCAGATGTAGACGATACCCATCATGCAGTTCTACAAAACAGAGCTGCAATTGATTTCCTTCTTTTAGCACAAGGACATGGGTGCGAAGAATTTGAGGGCATGTGCTGCATGAATTTGTCTGACCATTCTCGATCGATTTATAAACAGTTAACGCAATTGAAGGACAACATGAAAAAACTTACCGTAGTGGACACTCCATTTGATAACTGGCTCAATTCTTTAGGTTTTTCTGGCTGGGTCAAAGACTTAATCGTTTTGGTATTGTACTTCTTTTTATCTTTATAGTCATTTTAATTGTTATACCGTGTTTTTTACAGTGTGTGCAAAAATTAGTTCATCGTGCCTTCACTCCAGCCTGGGTAGCTCAAAAAGAAAAAGAGGGAATTGTTGCAGCATTTTTGAGAGAAAGAGGACATGAGTTATGAGATTTGAGCTACTCCAGTCTAGGCCTCAGATTTGGGCCTTGTGAGGCCTTCAAACCTCTGACGCAGTTAGAAATTCAGAGCTTGTGGCGCAGATAGAAATAGTCTTAAGGTCTGATGGGGACCACTGGGTTGTCTGGGTGTGAATTAGTATAAGTTTCATAGTGTAAGGTGTAGGCCGTTTTAAAGGAAAAGGTAAACAATGTTAGTTTGCCAATCAGAGTGTCTTTGTTTCTGTAAACTATGTGGAAGCTTATATAAACTATCACCTTATCTTGAATAAAGGGAGAACGTTTGATTAACCACATTGGTTCAGATCTGCATTTGTCTTGTCCAGCTTTCTGTTTTCCTGAGATTTCCTGGCTTTTTCTAAACAAGTCACTAAAGTGTTACTTGAACACGTTATACCTCGATATGGAGTACCTGAAGTAATCGACTCGGACAGAGGAACACATTTTGTGTCAAAAATTGTTAGAAATCTGACAGAAAGCTTGGGTATTAAGTGGGAATACCATACACCATGGCATCCACAAAGTTCAGGAAAAGTTGAAAGGGTGAATGGAGAAATTAAAACTATTTTGACTAAATTAATGATAGAAACCAAATTATCATGGATTAAATGCCTACCTATGGCACTATTAATTCTCAGACCCAGACCCTGAGCAGATGTAGGAATATCGGCGTTTGAAATGGTGTATGGAATGTCCTACAGAATTGAAAGCCCACAAACAAATGTTTTAATTAGAGACCGTGTGATTAATGAATATGTTTCACAATTAGCAGAACATCGTAACCATCTTTGGGAACATGGACTGATTGTGCAACGACCCCCGTTGGACTTAAAAATACACAAAGTTAAACCTGGGGATTGGATATTGATTAAAGTGTGGAAAGAAGAAACCCTAAAACCCAATTGGGAGGGACCTTGTCTCGTTTTGTTGACAACAGAAACAGCTGTCCGGACTGCTGAGCATGGATGGACTCATGCCAGCCGCATTAAAGGCCCAGTGACAAGACCCCACTGGAAAGTAATCAGTACTCCAGGTGCCACCAAGATAACTCTGAAAAGATAACGAAATGATAAAGATTTTATTTGATTTTTTTTTTGCTGCATTACCTTTTGGTATAAAGTGTGTATTGCTGTTTATATTTGCTATAATTATTTCTTTTTTAATCTATTATATATGGAAGCGTACAACGTGTGCTGAAGGAAATTGTTAGGCATATGTAGCCACACAATAGTGAATATGGAAGATATGCTGATGTAAATAATATATGTACTCTAGATATACGAATTAGTTGTAATGATTTAAACTGCAATTGTTATCCATTTGCTTGTTCTAGGCATAAGGTATGCCGGGATAAATGGTGGACATGCTGTGAATGTGGATACCCTCAATATTATTGTTATCATTCCAATGAACCAGTCCTCTTTGTGGCTGAAATCTTGGTTATAAAGTGTAGAAGGGAAGTACTAACTGTGTCTTGCTTTGCCCCATTAGTTCAAGCTGCAAAGTGGGAAGCCTATGTAAACAGGCAGAAATCCCGAAACAGCTGTTCTCCTGAAGAATTCCCTTGCTGCCGAGAAGATGTTGCACCCCGTGACTCGAAGTAACCAAGTCGACGGGCGAGGCAGAAGAGGAACAGACTGTGGAGAAAAGAACCAGAACAATGGGACGCAAAAGCAGCAACGGCAGAGCTTCCCCAGGATTGGTAAAAATATACTTAACTTGGTAAAATTGACAGACACCCTTTTTCCTGGTATACCGTTAGTCTTGATATTGATAATAACCCTGGCAGAAGGGGGAAACCCACATGAACCATTCAAGTGGGAACTAATATCTTGGGAAGGAACGAGAACAATAGCCACTTTTAGCAACACAGGTCCACCTGAATTCATAGAAAAACTTTGTGATTTAGTACCGATACATTGTGGAAAAGGACCTCCATTTTATATATGCTCGGCCTCTGGACCGTCTTACTGTAATTATCCCGGACATTATTATTGTGGTTATTGGGGATGTGAAACAATAGCCTCAGGCTGGTCAGTAAAGGCTCCTGATAAATATATAAAAGCAACCTGGACTCCTAACGGATGTGTACCTGAACAAACAGTTGTAGATCTTACAGGTCTGCGTGACGTGGATTATGTAGCTTCACGGGACAAGGAAGTCTGTACCCGCATCAAATTTCAAGTATTGCATCCCGTAGGAGACAAGTGGTTAGTAGGACTAACATGGGGAATACGTGTCTATGGAGGAATTCCTAAAGACGTGGGAGGGCATTTTCTCATAAGAAAAGTTAAAATACCACATGACTCACTCCCTGTTGGGCCGAATAAAGTATTGAATTCACCCACTTCCCCTACCAAAAAGATAGTCCCCGCAAGTGTTACAACCACTCGTCCAAACCCCCTATCAATAACAAATAGAACAGCTAATGACGTGGTGACTGTTAGGGATTCAGGTGTGTTAAAATCCAAAGACCCTTTATGGTATTTAATGCAAGCCTCTTATCGTGCCCTTAATGAAAGCAAACCAAATTTAACTAAGGAATGCTGGTTATGTTATAATGTTAGACCACCATATTTTGAGGTGATTGGAAAACCAGCTAAGATTCAATGGTCTAGTGATTCAAACCCACGAGAATGCCCATGGAATGACCAGAAAAACCATACGCAGGGAATTTCTATTCAATTAGTAACAGGTCAAGGAAAATGTATTGGTACAGTGCCCAAAAATTATCAGCCTTTGTGCAACCAAACGACAATAATCACTACAAAAACTATAAAGAGACACAAGAATAGAAATGACAAATGGGCTATCCCGACACCAGGAGCTAAATGGGTTTGTTCAGACATCGGAGTAACGCCTTGCCTATCCCTAAACGTGTTTGATCAATCTCAGTTTTGCGTACAGGTGATTATTGTTCCTTGTCTGATCTATCACACCTCTGAGGAGGTGTTACACCACTTTCAAGGAGACCTGAATGTACAAAAACGAGAACCAATTACAGTGGTAACCTTAGCTACACTGCTAATAGCGGGTGGAGTTGGAGCAGGTACAGGCATAGCCTCCCTAGTAAAAAGTCAGGAATTACAAAGTTTACAGATGGCTGTAGATGAAGATTTAGCAAAAATAGAACAATCTATCCAAAATTCAGCCACTTCAGTAAAGTCTTTATCGGAAGTAGTACTGCAAAATAGAAGAGGATTAGATCTATTATTCCTAAAAGAAGGGGGGTTATGTGTAGCTCTCAATGAAGAATGTTGCTCTTTTGCTGACCATACGGGAGTAGTCCAGGACACTATGTCTGAACTCCAGAAAAGGTTAAATCAACGTAGAAAAGATCGTGAGGCGGGCAGGACATGGTATGAAAATTGGTTTAATGTTTCACCTTGGCTAACCACCTTGCTGTCTGCCTTAGCAGGACCGCTTATTATATTGATTCTGGGACTTATATTTGGGCCTTGTATATTACGCTGTATTGTACACGATGTTAAAAAACGATTTGACATAGCTAAACTGCTTATTTTAACTACGAGGTCAGGGGCAAAATATAAAAATGCATCTATTGATGAGAAGGAAGATTGTTGTGAATGTGTTATGCCACGAGGGGGCTACGCCTATTGTAATTGGGAAGTATTACCTTGTGAGTGTAATGATAAATGTTGGGATTGTGGAAAAAGGTTTATTTGCAGTGCCGAGAATGAAAGCAACGTCTAATAAACAATAATAGGATAAAAAGAAAAAGGGGGGAATTGTAAGAAACTACAGACTGAGGTATTGTTTATTAAGATATATGTAAAGGTTAGGTAACTGTGAGAAAATATAGACCGGGGTATTGTTTATTAAGATAAGGTTAGGCAACAGAGGTATGCAAACAGAGAACGGACACAGCTGATGCAAGATAAGATAACAACCACTTACACCAGAGACTGCCTATGCAAGATAAGATCACAACAACCATTTACACCAGAGACTGCTTATACAAACACAAGATAACGGCAGGAATTAGCTTGCAAATTCCAGGGAGACAAAAGAAGAAATTGGAATAAAAGGAGACGGTTTGAACGAATCAACACAGCAGTCAGTGGAGCTTCGGTTTTTGAAGTTCTCTGTCTGCTGTCCAGCGCTGTTGCCTTTGTTCATATCCTACTTGCTGTAAATTAATAAAATTCTTAATTGGATTATGTTCCGTTGTGGTGCAAATTTATAACACTGATCCTGTTCCCGATTCCAATCCCATTACCATTTCTGTTCCGGTTCCCGATCCTGATCCCGTTCCAGGTCCAGTTCCCGACCCCGCTCTCACTCCCATTCCTGATCCTGTTCCCATTCCCAATCCTGTTCCCAACCCTGATCCCACCACTGTTTCCAGGGAATGGCTCTGATCTCAACCCCGACCCCAACACCGGGGGGTCAAACACCTCACATCTTGGGGTCAACTCCCCGAACCCCAAATCCTGGGGGTTCAAACACTGGGGGGGGTGAAACACCATAAACCCAAACTCTGGGATGTCACCCCCCCCCCCCCCCCGGCCCCAAACCCCAAATTTTAGGAACAAACCCCTCAAATCCCAGATCCTGGGGTGTCAAACACTCCCCAATTCCGAAACGTTGGGGTTAAATTCCCCTGACCCCAAATCCTGGGGTTTGAAACACTCGGGGTGTCAAACACCCCCAATTCCCAAAGTCTGGGCTCAAATACCCCCAAATCCCAAATCCTGAGGTGTCAAACACCCCCAACCCCCAAAATTTGGGGTTAAAACCCCCAATCCCCAACTCCTGGGGTTTGAAACATCTGGGGTGTACAAATGCCTTGATCCCAAAGTTTGGGGGGCAAACCCCCAAATCCCCAAATCCTGGGTTCAAAAATCCCAAATCCCAAACCCTGAGGTTTCAAACTCCCCAAACACCAAATTTTAGGATCAATCATCCCCAATTCCCAAAGTTTTGGCTCAAAAACCCTCAAACCCCAATCCCCCCCCAAACCCACTCCAGCCCTGGAGGGCACAGTGGGGTTTGTTTGGGGTTTTTTGGGAGGTTATTTTGGTTTATCCACGGTTTATTTGGGGCAGCTTCAGGTGCAATGTCTGCAAAGAGACCCTGGGTACAAGGCTGGGGAAAAAAGGGGGATTGGGGTGGGAATTGGGGGATTCAGGATGGGGAAAGATCCTCTATGGGAAAAGGGGATTTGGGGTAGACAGGGAAGGATTTGGGGTGGGAAAACGGGATTTGGGGTGGGGAATTGGGGTGGAAAAGGGAGATTTTGAGACGGGAAAAGGGATTTGGGGACCCACAAAGGATCTGGGGTGGAAAAAGGAGAATTTATGGTGGGATAAGGAGATTTGGGGTGAGAAAATGAAATTTGGGTTGCACAAAGCAGGATTTGGGTCAAAAAATGAGCTTGGGGATGAAAAGAGACTTTGAGGTTGAAAAAAAGGAGGATTTGGGATTAAAAAAAAAGGTGAATAAGGTACAAAAAAGGAGGATTTCGGCCAAACTGAACTTACCTGGGGGAGTGGGAGCATGCAGGGGGTTTGGGGCAGGGCCAGGACCATTTTTGGGGAAGTTTTCTGGGATTTTGGAGTATTTCTATGGGATTTGGGGGCAGGTCTATGGAATTTGGTGCCAGTTTTATGGTATTTAGGATGTTGTGAGGTGGTTTTGAGGGATTTTTGGGTGTTTCTATGGGATTTGGGAGCACTTATATGGCATTTTTGGGTGTTTCTACAGGATCTTGGGGTAATTTGGAGGGATTTCAGGGTGTTTCTATGAGGTTTTAGGACAGCTTGAAGGCATTGGAGGTATTTTGGGGCAGCTTCAGGGTATTGAGGTGCAGCTTTGAAAAATTTTGGGGTGGTTTGGAGGGATTTCAGGGAATTCCTCTGAGATTACAGGGCGGTTTGGAAGGGTTTTGGGGTGTTTTGGGGCAGATTTGGGGTATTTAGGGGCGGGTGTGAGGCTGTTTTTTGGGATTTTTGGGTATTACAGTCCCATTTTTTTTAGTTTTGGGTTATTTTGGTGGGGTTTGGGGTGTTTTGGGTCACTTTTTTGTGAAGGAGATCTTCATGGCATGGCTCTGGGTGATGAAGAAGCCCTGCAGGGCCTTGCGGGTGGCGCCCGCCTGCACCTCGGTATCCAACTGCAGCAAGGCGATGTCACGGCACCCAGGAACTGGGGCAACTTCTTGAGCCCCGGGAACCTGGGATGGGAACAGGGTGAGGAGAGCCCGAAACACCTGGGAACCTTCCCCCAGACATCCAGGAATGTTCCCTGTAGTGAGATTTCTGAGATAGAGAGGACATGATTTATATTTAGAGTGAAGGTTGAGCTACCTCCCCAGCCTAGGCCTCTGATGTGGGCCTCGGGGAGGCCTTGGAAGCCTTTGACGCAGTAAGAAAATAGTTGTTGCGCAGTTAGAAATTATTTTAAGGTAACCACTGTGTTGGTAGGTTTTCTGGGTGTGAATGAGTGTAGAGCTGCAGTGCAGAACTCTGGCCACCTTAAGGCAAAGACAAACAATGTTTGCTGACCAATGATAGTGTGCTCACAATTTGTAAACTATATTAAAGTGTATATAAACTGCCATCTTATAGACAATAAACAGAGAACATAGCTTTAACCATATTGGCTTGACCTACGTTTTGTCCAGTCCAGCTTCCCTCATATTATAAGAAGTACCTAGCTTCTCTTCCCCCAAAAACCTAGGAATGTCCCCCCAGAAACCCAGGAACATTCTCCCAGACACTCGGGAATGCTCCCTAAACTCCTGGGAATGTTCCTGCAGACACCCGGGAATGTTTCCCAAAAACCTGGGAACATTCCCCCAGAAACCTGGGAATATCCCCCCCAATCCAGAAATGCTCGCAAAAAAAAAAAAAAAAAAAAAAAAAAATCCTGAAAGATTCCTCCAGAAATTCTGAAATTTTCCCCAAAGAAATCCAGAAATTTGTTACAGTGAGCTCATGGGTATTCTGTTTCCCCTTCCCCGGGGCCCTGTGACTCTGATCAAGATAACCCTGGACCCTCCTTTCTGCCCCAATGGGGTTGGCGGAGAGCCAGGGAAGCCCACCCTGTCCAAAGTCTATATAGACCCCTGACATTTCCTGTTCATCCTCTTTTGCCCTGCTCTCCACAAGGACATCACAGAATAAACAGAGCTGAACCAACTTATTCCGGGGTAAGAGCCTCTTTTGGAAATCTTTGCCATCTCCTGATATTCCTCCCCTCAAAGCCTCGGATCTCTGGGCTAGCCTGATAATTAAGGGGTCTGTGTGAGGGGGGGGAACGACAGCTGGCCCCCAACGTGTGCTGCCGATAAGCCCATGCAGAAGATGGAGTCCCTATTTCAGTGGATCTCGATAGCTTTTGGGACAGTTAACTACCCTAGTACTCTAGCTGCCTGTAAAGGCTTTGAGTGACAGGGAAAAGTTGGGGACCTTGCCTGAGTACCCCAGGCGAGCCGGCTGGAGAGGGACCTCCAGACGAGTTCACAGACAAACCCCGCAGTTCATAGGCTTGGTAAGTCCTTGGTTCGCATCACCCCGGGATCGCGCCTGGCTGGGAGGAGCTACCATAGTGACTGCGGGGAGCTGCTTGTGTGAGGGTAAGCCAGGAACCCTGTGCAAGCCAGCTTGGAACCGGCGGGCTGAGAGTACCCGCATTCCCGGGGGGAGAAGTGACGGGAGGGAGCCAGCAGCTCTGGCACAGCGGGAGGGAGCCAGCAGCTCTGGCACAGCGGCGGGAGAAGCCCCCCTGTCCCTGAGAGAGGGCAGGAGCCGCTCCGGCAGCAGCGGGACGAGCGCCCTTCCCCCCCCCCCCCCCCCCTTACCGCTTGGATCCTGTGACACAGGGAATACAAAAAAATCGTGCTGTGTTACAAAGTCTGGTGGAGAATAGACCAGCGATACAATTAAAATAATAAGTGCAAAAGTATCAGTGGAACAAAAGAGCAAAAGAGCACACTAAAACAACTTACCAATATTTTAAACAATGTATCGTTCTCAAATAAGCTCCTCCTGCGTTTTTTATGCTGCATACTAGCAGAAATACCAAATTTTACTGTGCAAGAACTGAATTCGCTTTCTTTTTGGGACCAAATTGGACAGATATTAACTTTAAAAGTCGAAAATGGTGAACATAAAGCTTCTCGATTAATTCCGATATTTTTACAAGCCCAAAAAAATATCTTGGAAGCAGAAAAAAGCATACAAACACAGAATCACAGTCTGAATGATCCCTTTTCCCCCACCTACCCACCTCCTCAATATCCCAGCCCTGATACCCCTTCACCCACCTTGTATCCTCTTCTAACACCTGGTTCTTTTGAGAAATATAGTCTGGAGTTCTCTTCAGAGAGCACTGCAATGTCTCTGAAACCCACGCGGCAGTATAATGGCGGCGACCATGTGCTCTGACCCCCTCCCCCTCCCTCTCACAATCCTTTCCTGCCCCCACCCACCTGCCCCTCCTCCAATCCCTTCCAATCTCCCACAGCCCCTCGACACCCTCCTTATTAGGGCCAGCCCCCGCGTTGCCCCGGGAACGAAGGCGGGCCCAGCCCCAGCACAGCTCCCAGCCCCGACTCTGAGGACGGGGCGGGGGGAGGTCAGAGCAGCCCAGCAGCTCACAGCATGGGCGGGGCCAGTGTCTCCACCGCCACACAGACAGCCCAAGAAGGGGGGTGCCAGCTGCCTGTCACCGGGACTGGAGGGGCAGTGGGGGCACAAGACCATGCCTCTGCTGAGGACTCTATACCATCTATAGCACCGGTTGTTTATTTAGGAAGGAGAAACGGAAACAGAACATACCAACCACTACCATATAGAGACAAAACAGAGATCTGTAAAGTACAGAGAGAATTTGGGAGGTACAGTGAGATTTTTAAAGGGATGATAAGGGCAACATTTAATTCAAATGAAATGGTACTTGAAGATATCACTGATTTATTTAAATGCTTACTAACACCTTCTGAATATGAGATATGGGAAAAAAGGTGGAAGTTAGCTTTGACAGCAGTTTTACAAGAAATACAGCATACACCCAGTGAATCCATTGACAGTGATGGCAATCCTATTATGATGCATCATTTATGTGGTACAGGAGACATACAATGCCCAGAAAAACAAACCAGACTGTTATCTAGATAGGTTTTGGAAAAAAATCTGTAATGCTGCAGAAAAAACATTTTTTCAATTACCAGTAAGTGAGGCTAAGGGCAGCTATACAAACATTAAACAGCTTCCTTCTGAGAGTTTTTTACAGTTTGTGGATCATTTGAGAACCCAAGTTGTAAAACAGGTGCAAGACACCAGGGTACAGACAGAGTTGATTAAAGAAATGGCTCAGAGGAATGCAAATGAGACCTGTCGTAGGATTCTTCTCAGTCTTCCTCTCGACCCAGCACCTAGCCTTGCTCAGATGATTGACGCCTGTGCCAGGAGAGCAGAGCTGCTCGATACTCCTGACAGTCATGCAACATCTGCAAAAATACAGCCTGTTACCCCTGGTGCATGAAGCCCAAGGAAGCAACCTAGGTCATCACAACAGCTGCAGCACATCATCTGCCTGCGCTGCAAGAAACCAGGACACTTTGCCAGAAACTGTCCTCAAAACCAGAACCAGAGACAGATCAACAAACAAAAAAACTGAGTGCACAGCGCGTCCCCACAGCTAAAAGAACTACGCACAAAGACATAAATATAGCGGGACCCACACGGGACAATGCCTCTCTCTTAACAAATAAGGGGGAGGGTGGAAATCATGGTGGGGGGGAGAGAAAAATAAAAATTTAAAATGTAGAACTAACAAGGTTTAGCAGCCCCTAGACCGACCTCGCCTAGTGACTGCCAAATAATTTCATTTCAAAACCACTGATTGGAAAGTTATTGTAGTGGACCTGTCAAAGAGCTCACAAGGCCTGTAGGCGTACGATATGGAACTGGACAGTGAGTATTTTGTTATTGGGGACACAGCATACACACCTCCAGAAATTGAAATAGTTCCCATGACCACTAAGGGAAAAATATCCAGTCTGATGTTGTTGGCACGCTGTCTACACCCTCCATTTCATCTAGAAAAGGGGAAAATCCTGGCACAAGCCATTCCCATCCCAGTAGAAATAACAGTAGAAGGAAAATCACCAGAAGTCTACTGGGCAGAGGTAGCAGGAGAGGATAAACCCTCCATGGCATGCAACCTAGCACATGGGTCAGAGTACCTTCAGGTGGAAGGGATTCTGGACACAGGTGTAGACATCATGGTGATACCTAAAACCATGTGGCCATCACACTGGGAATTGCAACCTGTGGCAGGCAAACTTCAGGGTATAGGAGGAACCACAGTGGCAATAATTTCAAAAAAATGTAGTGCAAATTGAGGGACCTGATGGGAAATTGGCAAGTGTTCACCCATTTGTGGCAGACTATGAGGCTACTCTGTGCGGGAGAGATACTATGTCCCAGTGGGCAGTTCAGTTAATCATTCCTAAGACACACAAGGATTTTTTTAAGTAGCCACTATGGAGCGCCCTGCCAACAAGTTTAAGTGGTTGGATAACACCCCAAGGTGGGTAGCACAGTGGCCTTTGAGTAGTGAGAAACTCGAGGTGCTTAACAAACTTGTGAAGGAGCAGTTAGCTCAAGGATACCTGCAAGAAACAGACAGCCCATAGACTTTCCCAGTCTTTGTAATAAAGAAGCCTGGGAAAGACAAGTAGAGATTGCTCCACGATCTCAGAGAGATAAAAAAAATTGTGGAGGACATGGGACCTCTCCAAACAGGTATGACTAGTCCAGCTATGCTTCCCCAAAATTGGAAATCAGCTGTGTTAGATATAAAGGACTGTTTCTTCCAAATTCCATTGCACCCTGAAGATGCCCTGAGGTTTGCATTCTCGGTTCCTACCATCAATCTGAAGGCCCCAATGAAACGCTATCACTGGAAAGTTTTTCCCCAAGGTCTAAAATCCAGTCCTTTCATCTTCCAACAGTATGTAGCAGCACTACTGTCTCCAGTACGTGCAGAGAGAAAGGACGCCATCATCCTTCACTACATGGATGATGTGCTTGTGTGTGCTCCCAATGACTCTATACTCCAATACACGCTTGACCTATTGGTTGAAGTTTTAACCTCTGTTTCATTTCAATTGCAGAACAGCAAAGTTCAAAGAATGCCGCCTTGGGGATACCTGGGCCTGGAAATCTCTGCAAGGACTATTGTCCCTCAGAAATTGGAGATCAGTTGCAACCCCAGAACACTAGCAGACCTCCACTCGCTGTGTGGGTCTTTAAATTGGGTAAGACCCTGGATAGGCCTCACAAATGAGGACCTGGAACTTCTTTTCAATTTATTGAAGAGGGAGAGGGAGCTGGCCTCCCCCAGGGAACTGACCCCGGAGGCAAAGACAGCAATCGAAAAGGTACAGAAGGCCTTGTCAGAAAGGCAGGCACATCAGTGTGACCCAAACATGCCTTTCCAGTTCATTGTTCTAGGAAAGCTGCCACACCTGCATGGGTTTATTTTCCAATGGATCGAGGGGCAGAAAGATCCACTCTTGATCATAGAATGGGTTTTCCTATCGCTCCAAAGATCCAACATCATCGCTAGGCCACAAGAGCTGATATCAAAGCTGATTCAGAAGGCCAGGGTGAGGTTGTGCGAATTAGCAGGGTGTGACTTTGCATGTATTCACCTTCCAGTCAGGCTTTTTGATGAGGGAAGGAACTCTCCTGAGAGACTGACCAAAGGGATGTTTGAGCATTTGCTCCAGAGCAGTTCCAGTCTCCAGCTATCTCTGGACAGCTACAGGGGACAAATATCAGTCAATGCCCCGTCTCACAAGTTCTTCAATGAGGAATTCCACCTTATTCCTCAAGAGAAAAGGAGCCGGAGGGCACTCAAGGCTCTCACAGTGTTCACGGATGCCTCTGGGGCTTCCCACAAGTTGGTGATTGTGGTAGGTAAGGGACAGGCGAGCGGAAGACCACGGGATGTCTCGGAAAGACAGACCCCTCCCCCTCTCTCTTCCCCACTTATCTATTAACCCCAGAAGTCCCAGAAGAATGTAGCCACACCTGCTCTGGTAAATTTCCACTACCCGACTAACCCCTGAGACCCCCAACCCCCCTCTGACGTAGCAAAAACCCCCAAAACTATTTAAACCCACGAGATAGGATAATAAACGCTTTTCAACCGTCTGCCATATTGGTGTCTGCGTGTGTTGATTAGCCCGAGCAGCCCGGACGAGACCAGGCTGCCGTGCTGTTCCCTGAACCAGGTCTCTGGTTGTCCTTTATAAAGGCAACATACTGGTGCCGAAACCCGGGAAAAAAGAAGAAAAAAAAAGGAAAACCCCCCCGGCGGACGGGATACACCTGGACAGAAGCAGTGGCCGGAACGGTCGGACTGTATCTAGGCGCAAGGGGAGACGTCCCCGGGATCCGCGGGCGTCATGGACGCAATGGCAAGGATCGTAAGTGCTATTTATTCGCAGTGGGGTATTGGGTGTAAGCTCAAGGATTTTCATCTTGCCATAGCGAGATTGCTTGAGCTAGGGGCAATCGAGCGCCCCGTGGATGTATTACATCCGGAAATATGGGAAAAATGCACTGCCGCGCTAGCCGAGGACACAAAATCCTCAGGCAGTGGCAAAAACCTTAAAGCATGGGGCAAAGTAGAGAAAGCCCTACGCAAAGCGATAGAAGAGCAGGAGACATGGACCGCGGCGCGCACGTGTTTATTAGTTACTCCCAAACTCGGTGTGGGGGCGGGGACGCAGACTGCCCCTGAGAGCGATTCGCCCGGCGGCGGGGACCCGGGGGGGCTCAGCGCGACACCCGCTCCCCCAGATCAGAGCCCACCCCCCCCGCAGAAACCCCCCGCGACACCCCCGCCACAGAAAACCCCCAAAAACCCCCCACCGCTCAAACCCCCCGAGAGACCGCAAATTCCTCCGTCCCGCCGCCGCCGTCGGCCCGCGATCCGCTGTCGGAGACACAACGGCACGCGGAGCGCTTCTGGCAATGGCTGGCGGAAGAAGCCCGAGCCGCCGAAACTGCGGCTTGGGAGGACGGGGCCGCCATGCCGCCCCCCTATCCCTTTGAACATGGCGCCGGGAGCGGCAGAGAGGGGCGGGGCGCAGGCGGTCCCGGCGCGAAAACCCGGGCAGCGCGCGATCTCGGGAATGCGCGCGCGCGGGAGAAGGGGGCGGAGAGCGGCACAGAGCGCGGAACCAACCAGCGGCCCTGTCTGAAGCTGCCACCATATAAGGGAGCAACCACCTCCCGCGAGGGGCGCGGCGAGCCGGGGGGGTGGGAGCGGCGCCACCCCCACGGGGAGGAGCGAGCTCGGGGCCGGACAAAACGGCGCGGAGCCCCGGAAGTGCGCTGGCACTCGTCTTCCGGCTCGGAGACCAGCGACAGCTCCACCAGCTCAGGGGAGCTGA